AACAACTTCTATTCAACGAAAGAAGACTGCGACCACACAAAAGGCCACACCATCTTGGTCTTTATACCTTGGATCTATAAAATTACTCTAATTGAAAATGGCTCTGAAAACAAAGAATATTTGCTCATCCACTCCTTTAATTTTAACGGGTGAACAGAAAATTAGCCTTCGTTTGTTACTTTGATAAGCTGTAACTCTGCTTACGATGGCGCCTCACACTGACGATACCGACTATGATGTCGAGGCAGGGTTTGGGAAAGTACCAAGTCAATGGTCCAATGCCGGAAGTCACGAATAATATGGTAGAGGAGAAGGGACTAAATACGTTCCACAGGGTCTCTCTGACGCTCCGAGCAAGTTGCGAAAATAGGGTGAACCAATACTATAAACAGTTCTGCTGGAACTCTGGGAAGTCGCGATATCGGCGGAGAGCTTGATTCTGCCCAGACGTTTTCAATTCACGTCAACTCAGAGCCAGGAGTGTGTGTATAGACTGTGAATTAACACAGTCCAACCCAATTGAGTTGTCTTATCATGTCAAACAAAAAGGCGTTTATACGCTTAATGCCGTTATACTAAGGCACCACGTGGGCAAGGAGTTGGGCCAAATCTGGTCAACGACATCACACATGGGAAGAGAAACTTGGCAATCTCAGACGAGTGATTTAGAGTCTTCCGGCAGAGGAACTCGGCATTGAGTCTATGCATGCTCATATCACAGCCATCAGACTCAACACTCTTGATCTGATTAGTAGAAGGTAATGCCGCTTTGAGCATCGCCTTGCGAAAACACCTCGTCAACATCTGAATTCCATATCGCGTGGTGCCTCATTATTTTTTCCAATAAATATCGCAAGCCTTGTCTGCGGCTTACTGCTCTGTTTGCCGTACAAGGCTGGCAGCGAAAGATAAGATCACTTCGATTCAAGCTCGGACCAACATAGCCGATGGGAAATGAGGTTAGAGACAGGATGTCACTGTTTCGCTGAGGCATTTGGATTCCAAACGCACCTCACTAACCAGTCGCCATCAGACACAGCCCCATTTGTAGCCATGGCGGTGAATGGTGGCGCTAGGAGTATGCAAACGAGGCGGGAAAAGTGGACCGTAGGAGCCTAGCAACATCGAAGTTGAGCCAGTTGTGGTTGCCACGTAAAGACGGATCAAGCGGGCCGGCCGAACCGGACAGGCCACCAGATCAACTTGTCTCATGTAGCATTTATCGTCACTATCCTCCTCTCACAGTTCGAAGTTATCATAATTTAAACGTCAAATAAAGTCGCCCTGACAAGACTAAGTTGCGAAAACGAGGTCGGATCACCTCAATGCATCGAAAGAGGACTGCGACAAAAAAGAGGCCAAAACATCTTGGTCTTCGTATAACGAGAGTCTAGCTTAATCCTTACTGGATTTAGATTGTCTGAAAATCAGTCAAGGTGAGGCAAGGAAGAAACCTGAATAAATATGTAGATATGTAGACAATAAGAGCATTGAGAAGAAATTGCTTTAAAGGAATTGGGGGGAATTCAGCAACTTTAATCAGGCTAGGGCTTCTGCATAAAATCTGCTTGGATTCATAGTAACGGGTCTGTGAAAAGCCATGCCTGATTCGAGAGATTGTTACTAGAAGAGTCGGGTGTGAAAAAGTAAAGAAAAAAGAGGAATTGACCGTCTGATCAGTAAAAAGTTTATTTCTCGTTTATAAGTAGGTTTTCGAGACTGCCAGTAGAGCATAAATAAATAAATAAATAAAAACATATATATATATATATAGAGAGAGAGAGAGATGTGATGAAGGACTAACAGTTGAATTTTACTATATTCAGTTGAATAGAAATTTAGTTACTATTGAATTTTACATAGCCTTGCTTCTCAAAAGATACTCTGCTCCAGTCAGGAATGGAGTGCAGTTTCAAACTTGCCTGAAGTGGTATCATCAGCATCCCCAGCGGGACTCGAATCGTGATAGGGCAGTGTATAATCTAGACACGTTAACTACTAGGCCGCACCTCTACGAGTGCCCTTGGATCACAGGGCAGATGTGAATTTTAAGGTAGGCCAGGCATTTTACCATATCACATATCATTGTGGGAAATTCAACTACCAGTCCTTAGTCACCTTGACGAAATAGAGCGAATACATATCATGTAAATGAACTGCTGGTAGTCTCGAGAACATATTAATAAACAAGTCAATTGCTAGGGCAAATACAATTTTGCTTCATCGATAATCCCACCACAGCATGTGATGTTTTAAAATACCTGGCCTTCCTTGAAATCCACATCTGCCCTGTCATCCAAGGGGACTCGTGGCAACGTGGCGTAGTGGTTACCGTGTCAAGGTTATACGCTGCACTGTAATGGTTCGAGTCCCGCTGAGGGTGTTGATAAGACCTAGGCGAGGTAAAAACTTCAATCAACATTTGCCTGGATGCGCATACCTTTTGGAAAGCAAGGCTATGTGAAATGCAAGAGAAACGTGAGACCTAATCATATCACAACTACTAGAGACAATACATCTCATATAAAAGAAAGGTTTACACCCAAGAATAGATAATTGGATCATGAAAGGAGTATCCCTTTGACTATGAAAATGGCATGTGACTTACTTCTGGCTTATTTTCTCTTCTTCGCTGATCGGTCTGGATCTGGGCAAGAACGTTGGCTGCCTGCTCGCCACCCATCACGCTTATCCGTGCATTTGGCCACATGAAGAGAAGATTGGGGGAAAAGGCGCGACCACACATTCCATAGTTTCCCGCCCCGTAGCTCCCACCAACAATCACAGTAAACTTAGGTACTTGAGCGCAAGCGACTGCAGTAACTAATTTGGCCCCGTGTTTCGCAATGCCTCCAGCTTCAGCCTCCCGGCCTACCATAAAACCTTCAAAGGAGATAGAAAAGTGTACACATGAAGGGATAAAAAAGGCGCATAGGCACAATACTATTGCTGAGCTGGCCTTCATTTCATGAGAAAATATATGCTGAAAATATTCGTAATTAAATCCCATCAGAATGCAATTGTAGAGGTCTCATTCTGCTGCTTTGACTTCCTGTAACGTTCCTGATGAAATTGAGATGATGCACGCATAGCTTAATCATTCTATGCTGAATTACGCAAATAATCAGAGTTAAAACATATTTTCATAATGACTTTAAACATATGTATCAATAGAACTAACTAGTTTATTCGAACCTGCTAGATATAAAAACAAGAAACTAATTTTACGTTGATAAGAAGATTTTCGAGACTATCTCTAGGTGGCATATATGAGATGTATGTAGAAAAACTGGATTTCGAAGATGCTGGAGTACCTTTCGCTCCATTTGAAGAAGCGAGTGAAAGGGATTCGTAATTTGGTCTTATTGGAGGCTGTAGGAGGATTGGCTTTGAGTTGTGTTTGTAGATTTGTGTGAATAGGTCCTCAGCGCACCGCTCTGCCACTCCGATGACATGAGATGTCTAAGTGGACTAAATTGGACAATAAAAAGTAGGTATGCTTGAAGCCGGCCACCTTTCTAGTTATCGAAAAGCATGGGATCCTGCTCTGATGATGTAGGTCACATGTCGGCGCCGAGGACCTATTCGCAAAAAATCTACAATCACAGCTCCAAGATATTCCTTCCACATCTTCCAGTGAGACCAACTTACGGATCCCCTCCACTCGCCTATTTAAACGAAATGAAATGTACTCCAACATTAATATATGAGATGTATTTACCACATTTCGTTAAGGTGATGAAGGGCTGGTAGTCTAAATCCTACACTGCACTATCACAGTTCAAGTCCAACATAGGGTACTGATGAGACTTAGACGAGATCCAATCTTCACTCTGCCCCTGCCTGAATGAGAATACCTTTTGGAAAGTAAGGCTGCGTTAAATTCAATGGAAATGTAAGCCTACTCATATCATTGTAAAAAAATTCGGCTGCCAGTCCTTCATCATCTCAACAAAATAGGGTAAATACGTCCCATAAGAAACTAATTTATTTGTGAATGGGTCTCGGAACAATCAACAATTCTTGAATAAACTAACCCATGACGATAAGGTGGTATGGCCTATAGTTAATTTCCCCAATGAGGATGACTAAGTTATTATTCAAGAATCACCGATAGTATCGAAACGCAAACTGGTATGACACTTGAAGCAAACCTAGTTTCTCCCAAATCGCATGTATAATGGGATTGTCTATTAAGTAAACATACATTAGTCATTGCAATCGACGAAGGGGCACCTGTTGCTGCGTAACGGAGCGACAGTGTCGCCATGATGCACACGACCGGCTTCCTAGCCTGGATGAGGAAACTTCGTATGAGTGGCATCACTAAGCCTATTCATCTCAGTATGGAAAAACTCAACCACAAGTTTTTAATGGTGGTGGTCCGACCTTGTTTTCGCAACTTGGTCGAAGTGTCAACGAGACCTTGTGGAGCGTACCTAGCCCTGTGTCCTCTGCCATAGTATGTATGATTTCCAGCTTCGGACCATTGACTTGGTACATTTCCAAGCGTTTTGCCGGCATTGTCAGTGAAAGG